CATGTTATTGAATCTGATTTCAAAAACATGTTTTCATCTGATTATTCGACTTCATGTTCCATAAATCATATAATTTCTATACTAAAAACTTGTTTTTGTTTTACAAACCAATTTTTTTTTGGTTCCTAAAACATGTACTGTTTTTTTAAACAAAACCAACTTGTTTTTTTCTTTTGAAAACAAAAACAGAGTTATTGATCAAAATCAAAAACAGAGTTATTGATCAAAATCAAAAACAGAGTTCAAGAACATGTTTTTGTTTTTTCGCTGATGTGGCGATTCCAAAAACAATTGAAAACAAAAACATTCATGTTAGAGAACGCCTCCTAAATTTTCTATTTAATGTTTTTCAATGTGCAATACCATGGACCAAGGGTTGATAGTGATAAAGTTCAGACCTGTGTAGCATTTAGTTTCAGAATAATGAAGAAAAAGAAATAAGAGTGAAAGATTAGAAGGAAGAAAAGAGGAGAAGGAATAGAAAGAAAGACTGGTTCGAACTAGAGAACTCTCACTGTCTAGTCAGCCAGGTTCTTATTTATAGTTTTCTAATCTCAAGCATAAAGACTATTGTGCCCTTATTTATGTTTGGGACACATTACTTAACCCAGGACATAGCATATATTACATCACACCTTTAACATAAGTAAAATGACCACACTGCCCCTTTACAACCGACTCTAGCACTCCCCCTCAAGTTGGTAGTATCTGTCATATAGTCCCAACTTGTTACATATGTAATCCACTCTTCCCCGACTCAACCCTTTGGTAAACAAGTTTGCCCATTGACTTCCTGTGTTTACATATGCAGTACTTATCACTCCACTGAGCACCTTCTCTCTCACAAAGTGACAATTAATTTCTATGCTTGTTCTCTCATGAAAAATTGGACCGGAAGAAATGTGGACTGCAGCTTGGTTGTCATTATATAGATCCATAGGAGTCTCAATCAAGTATCCCATCTCCTCTAAGAGATTCTACAACCACACTAGTTCACATGCTGTGTGTGCCATTGCTCTATATTTAGCTTTTGCATTGCTTCTTGCTACCATTGTTTGTTTGTTGCTCTTCCATGTCACCAAATTGCCCCCAAGAAAGGTACAATACCCTATAGCTCCTGCCAAATATGGAACGAGCCCAATTAGCATCAGTGTATCCCTCTATCTCAAGACTTCCTCTACTTTTATATAACAACCCACGACCTGGAGCTACCTTCAAGTATCGTACAATCCTTAAAACTACATCCCATTGTGGAATATGGGGATTCTGCATAAACTGACTCACCACACTAACTACAAATATCTAGCCGAGTAATGGTTAGGTATTTCAACTTACCTACCAAACTCTTGTACCTTCTAGGGTCTTCAAACTCTTCACTTGTATCACTACTTAGCTTGACATTCGGTTCCATGGGTGTTTTAGCTGGTTTAACACCCAACAATCCTATCTCCTCTAATAGATCAAGAACATATTTCCTTTAACACAGGTTAATACCATACTTGGACCTTGCTACCTTTATCCCCAAAAAATATTTTAATTTACCAAGGTCCTTTGTCTAGAAGTGATCTTGCAAAAAGATCTTCAACCTATCAATCCCAAACCTGTCATTGTCGGTAATAACTATATCATCTACATATACCACCAATAAGATCTTCCCAACACCTGAATCATAGTTGAATATTGAATGGTCAACCTGACACTGTTTCATGCCAAATTTTTTCACTTCACTGAATCTACCAAACCATGCACGAGGAAACTATTTAAGCCCATAAATAGCCTTCTTTAGTCAACACACTTTACCATCCTCCCCATGAGCAACAAACCTTGGTGGTTGCTCCATATATACTTCCTCAAGAAGATCACCATGTAAAAATGCATTCTCGATGTCAAGCTAAAACAAAGGCCAATGGTACATAGCAGCGAGGGAAATCAAAACACAAACTAAGCCAATCTTGGCAACTAGAGAGAAGATTTTTGTATAGTCGATACCATACATCTATGAATAACCTATGGAAACCAACTGAGCTTTCAACTACTTGACACTACCATCTGGTAAATACTTAGCAGTGTAGTTACACACCTTACTGACCACTCCACACTACCAACTGAGCTTTCAACCTCCAAAAAAAAAAAAAATGATCACTCCTTTTCATCCCTTCTGCAAATATCCAAGTGATCGATGAGATATCTATAGAAAACTAGGGTAAAGGGTGATGCAAAAATTCTGGGAAGATCTGAACTGATTATAATTGCTCTGATACCATGTTACAGTTCAGATCTGTACTGGTTTCAGCCCTAGAATAATGAAGAAAAAGAGCAGAGAAGAAAGAGAAGAGAAGAAGAAATAGGAGAGAAAGACCAGTTCGAACTAGAGAGAAAAGTTCTCTCTAGTCAGCCAGATATTATTTATATGTTTCTAATTAAAATCACAAAGACAGTTATGCCCCTAATTATGGGACACAACACTTAAACCAGAATATAAAAGACATTACACCACACTCTTATTAAAAAACAAAATGACCAAACTACTCCTTTACAGCCGACTCTAACACTATGTGCAACTTGTAGTTTCTTATTCAATGATAAAGCTTTGTTGACTTGTAGCTTATTCAAATTGGTAGGTCCTTGGGAAGCTTTTGTTGTTGCATTTGGTTTGATGTTTGTGGTGCGCTGATTATGTAGGCATTTCGATTCTGATATGCATGAAAAAGTAATAGTTTATTTCAATTGCTCGAAACCTGCATATATATATATATATATATATACACACACACACACACACACTATGAGAATTGCTAAATATTTTCTCCATTAGAACTTTTGTAGGAAGGCTAATCTTTGTAAATCTAGCATGAGCAAGTATAACATAAATATTTTGTAGAATTAAGGGTCCGTTTGGTTCACAGTCGGAATCGGAATCAGAATTGGCTGGAATGGATTCTCATTCCCAAGGGATGGTGAGGGAATAATGGCCATTCCCTCATATGGGTAAATGCCATTCCATCAGGAATGGGAATGGGATGATTCTGCCCAACCAAACAGTTGGAATCAGAATGGACCATTCCGATTCTGATTCCGGACCCCTATTCCTGAAAACCAAACGGACCCTACATCTTACAAGTAATATATTGGAAATTTGGAGCCTTTTATGAGTTGGTTATCTAGCCATAATTTTCAAGTTGGGCATATTAAAATGGGCATAAACTTACAGGTCTTAGGCCCCACTTTATGGCTTTTTAACATTGGGCCTATGGGTGTGAACCTTTAGTCTTAGAGGTCCACATGCATTATTTTCCCAGGTTTTCTCACTGGTAATTTAGTGGAGGCTAAGATTTTTATCAAGGCTCAGTTTGGAAGGAGTACAAATACAAATATGTACCGTACAAATACATACAAGATAATATAAAATACAATGTTTTGCACTCTACAGATTTGTATTTGTACTCCTTCCAAACTGAGCCTAAATCTGTCTGAACAGTCCTGCATATTTTAGCATAGAACTAAAAGCATGCATTGATGGACTGTTTATGATTTGATTTTAGTTCTTTGGATGAAAGTTTACTCATGGTATTGTTATATGGTTCCATTCCTGAAGTGTCTTTGCACCTCCACCAACTGTTATTCCGAGTTTTCACAGGGAAAAAGATTTTACTCTGAGTTGGTATTTGATATAGTCTCCTAGTGGTTAATACCTGATTTGATAACTTAGATAATCTTTTGTATCAATTAGATAAAACATCATTTTATATCTAAAAACATTCATTTTCTTCATTTCCTTACATCTTGTAAACTTTTAAGACCAAGAGTGGACACTAAAGTAGTAGTATACATTTGAGAAGCTTTAAATATCACTGGTTGGGAGAAAAAGTAGTTGATGTAAATGTCTTGGGCCATTACAGAATGTGCTGGAAAGAAATGGATGTTTTTCTCTTTCAACCTTATTTTTTTTAAGAGGTGAAGTATGATTTTCATTAGAAAAGAAAAAACCTCTGTACAACCAGAGGAGTACAACAGAGAGATTCACTGAGAAAAATTAGACCATTATCCCTTTTGTGTTTACAAAAGATTTTCAAACTCAAAAAGAGAGCTATAACTTGATCTATCCAATTAGAACTGAGCTGACTGACCATGAGGTCAGTTTGCCCACTACTTTCTGCCACACTGCCTCAACTTGACAACTCCTTTCCTGCCATACAACCCAGAACACTGCTCCTGGAATCATTTGCCAAATGGCTTTACCCTTGATCTGCCAGCCTTTCACAAAGTATTCTCAGATGCTGGACAACATCCTTTGACGAAAAAAAAATCTTGAGAACTCTTAGCCAGATGTTATGTGTGAAATTGCAATGCAATAGTAAATGATTGATAGATTCTTCCACCCTGTTACATAAGACACATTCTTCTGAATCAATCGCCATTCCTCTAATTGACAGGTTGTCCTTAGTGAGGATCTTATTCAAATAGGCAGACCATACAAAGAAAGCTACCATCAAGGGGATGCTTTTTTTCTTTCAACTTATCCTTCTTCTATCAAGCATTATTAGCACAATGCTACAGTTCTTTTCTGCTCTGTAATAATGTTTAAGTCAGCTGATGCAGTTTTGTACTGTCTTATTTATATATATTTTAGGATACCAGAGAAATTTTCTTCTACTCAATTAATACAAATGCATGGTTATTGATAAAATAATTGTTAGCAAACACTTAAATTTCAAGATTTTCCATTATCTTGATTGAATCTCTTTTGGTTATAATTACTTAAGAATTTATTCTCAATTCCTCATAAACCTTTTTGGTCCTTTTGGATAATTCTTATTCTTATGTTTATATTGTTCCAGTCGGGCAAAGCCTCATATAAAGACATTCACTCGATATAATGGGCAAAACCTTGCATGAGCACTAATCCTTAAGCAGTTGATCATCTTCTTTATATATTTGTCAATCCAAGTCATCCTGATTTTGGTTACCTAACTTTAAGTTAACTCCTTGTCTTGCAACAGTTGGTTTCTTCTGACTTCAGCAAATCTCAGAAAAGCTGCTTGGGGTGCACTCCAGAAGAATAATTCCCAACTGATGATCCATTCTTATGAGGTCTGCTTCTTGGAATTATACATTTCCAAGTATAACTTCAACATCTGCTTTTATGCTACTTCTATATGATACCTTGATTTTGTTTCAACATACCAGAATAAAGTTGGTGCCAATTGGGTTTAATTTATAGGTGATCATTATATAAACAGATGACTATGTAGATCAATTTATTGATGTAAAAGTGCCTGCTATATTTAGCAATTTCAGTTGTGAGACCATAGAAGTGCATCTTGTATTACCAAGGCTTTTTTTTTTCTTCTTTGAATTGAAGAATGTGGTAAAAGGAAAGTGAAAATAATGAGTAGAAAGCACAACCTTCTGATAAACCAAAAAACTATGCAAAAGAGAGCTAGAAAAAGTATCAATGGAGAAGATAAAACACAATTTCAGCAATTACACCAGCTGATAAAAGTAGATCAGTCCAAATCTAGATGCTACATGCCTGGCAAGATGATCAAAAATAGCAAGAGAATAGACCCATCTTGGTTCTAGTTGATCATTGTGATAGGGACCTGGCATGCCTGTTGAAATGCCACCGGCACCTATTGTCCCCATTCAATTATCGGGAGTCACCTTCCTCACAAAGCTTGCTGCATGTAAACCATCTTGTTCCCCAAGAAGCAGCCTCTCTATTAACACGATTTGTTCTCATGATACTTTGCCAGGTTTCTGTTCCAATTGTATATAATAAATGGAAAAAGAAAACAAAAACAATCAATTGAAGTGACATAAACCCTTGGTTGTTAGTTAAAATTTAGGAGAACTTTGTTGGGAAATATAACATACTACTTCATTTGACACTATTGGTTTTGGCATGATGGCATCTGATAAAACTTGATATGAAATAAGCTTTTTCTTCTACATTATAAAATGTTAGTGACTTCAAGCATGTAAGTGTCTGCCGAAGCTTTTTATTTCTGTAAAGGGTCTGCCAAAAGTGATACTTGTTACCTGTCTTGGATCCTGCCATTCATATCCTAGCAATAGAAGGCAATGTATGGGTACTGTCAAGGATTAAGAAAGCTATCAATTATACATGAGAAAAAAAGGCTTTCAATACCTGATTTAGTTATTCAAGAAACAAGTACCATTAATAGTTTTTTAACTCATAGCTTGTAATTAAGTCGTTGTGTCCTGTTTGTGAAGCCTGAAGGATATCTACATGCACCTGAGAAGGCAATGCCACTATGCCAATTTTGTGTGCCACTAGAACACAAATTATATTCACTAATTGCAACTTTTTGTGGAAAATCCAACTGCCTTCGCAGTTTGGTCATGAAATTCAGTTGCTGTAAGTTTTGGATTAAACATTAGTCTCTCCCTTGATGTTCTATAGCCTTTTGCTGCCAAGCATGTCTTTCACTAATCTAAACATCTTTTAAATTTATAGGATATTTACATTTCATATTTCATTAAAGGATGCTGAATGGCATCATGTATTCCAATGGAAAATCTATGGAACCTTGTAGATCATCGACTGAAAGTAGCCTTTTGGGATCTTGTACAAGCTGTACTGTATTCCAAAAAAGTGCTCAATCTATCCATTCTTTACTTCTAATTTTATTTTTCTTTCTCATTGCACTTAATCTTGAATAAAAATCTATGTATTAATAATGTTTTTGTCAACTAATAATTCAGCTGGGGGTGTTATTTTTGCCATCTTTGAGTAAAGATCATTGCTATGTGATGATGCGCGATCTAGTGCTCCCTACTGGAGGACAACTCGGACATCGGGATACTGAGGTCGCCTAATTGAGCTGCAAGAAAAGGATGTCTGAGTGTCTGGGGTGCTTTACCCGGTGTGGGCACTCTGATGCTTAAGTTAGCGAGTTGGAGGTTTTTGAGAGAGCTGAAAGCTATTTGCTAGAGTATTGATAGAGCTAAGTTGCATGTACCTTGTAAGGCTGGAGGCAAGGCCTTTATATAGGCGAGTTGCCGTGGACCTTATGATGCGTGTCCAAGATACTTGGCCTATCTGGTTTGGAGTTGGTTTCGCACCCGAAGACGGACTCTGCATAAGCTGATAAGGCTTATCCAGGTCCGTCTGAATTGGATGGGAATAAGATGAACTCTGTTGACGTGGTGCCGTGATCCCAAGGAGATCGGAGACAGCTGTTTTTCTTCTGGATAGAGGTTACGTGACACTTCGGCAGATCAGTGCACATAGTTGAGCTATTCAAGCCTCCGTCTAGCTGGGTGACCCAAGGTGCGCGAGGTGGCTGGAGTCATTGAAGTCATCAAGGTCACTGAGGTATCACCATATCGTTCTGTCACTCCACGTGTCATCACATAATTTGATGGGCCAAATTATCCCTCATCACTATGGATTTTCTTGTACAGATGATAGTGATTCTGCACAGGTAATGGCTATAACCTTCACCTTGTGGTGCTAATTATGTGCTGATTATGTAGAGGCCTGCTACATTGGAATATAGTCATTTTGTTTCCTTCGTGGCATTTAAATCAACATATGTAACCGAAACAGAATCCTTTCATCTTGATAATAGGAAATACAAATAGATCACTTTCTGAAAAATGCTATGGCAACCTCATTTTAAATGAGGTTATGTCTAGAATTATACATCATTATAATTTCTAGATGGTCTAAAAATGTTCACAAGATTTTATGTTTTACTTCGTATTCTATTTCTTTTGTGAGTTCAGGGTATAAGGGAATCATTGCTGACTCTATGTTGGCAAGGAAATCAGAGCAAAAATTCATCATCTGAAATAATTCTGTTGCCTGTCCCTTATGAACTCCCTCCACAGCCATACTCATCTGAAGGTACAGACATATTGTGTTTATCTTCTTTGATTTGTTTTGATAGTGTACTAACCCCTTCCTGTCCCCTTCACTTTTTAGATGTGCCTTGGTCGTGGGACAAGCAATACTAGTCAGGACCCATGCGATACATGGGCTTTATTTATCAGCGAAATTGAAGATGGAGCTCTATGACATTTCCAATTAAATAGTGTCAATCTAGTTTATCCGATCACAATCTAAGGTTCACTTTAGTGAGGGCTAATGTCCTATTCTCTAGATAAATTTGTATTAATTTTTTGTATCTTAATCCTAATTTTTATAATTTTTTTTGGAAAAGATTTTTTTATTAATTTTTATTGGTTTATTATTATTATTTTTAGGTAAAAGTATAAAAAAAATCCTTTTATAACAATTCTATAAACCACCTGTGTTTTGCCCCTAACAAAGGCCTCCCCTATAGTTTTGAGAAAAAAAAGTGCAAATATCTCCTTTCCCTTGGCTCTTTGGTAACAAAGACTAAAGTTACCAAAATACCCTTATCATTGTTAATGCATTATAATACATAATTTAAAGTTTCAACTTTACCCTCCACTCATCTATTTTGTTAGACAACTTTCAAAGAATAATTCTCCTTACTCTCCTTGGACAAATGTAAAAAGGCTTAAGTGAAGTAAAATTAATGCATTACATCAACATTGTTTATTTTGAATGTTGACTAAAAGGTAGTTGTACTTTTTTTCAAAACAATAGGGGGGTTTTTGTTAAGGTCAAAACACTAGAGGTTCATAGGATTGTTAGAAAACATAAGGAGGCTTTTATAATTTCCTTATTTTTAAATGAAACTTAAAGTGATTTTAAAATAATTAAATTATATTTAAAACTAATATTTTTATTAATTTTTTAATTTAGTAAAAATTAAATTTATTTAAGTATATTAAGTTTTTATTAAATTTAAATTCCATATGAAATTTAATTATCTATATAAATTTTTAGTTTTTAGTGGAACTTAAGTTGGTTTTAAATTAATAAAATTTAATTATAAAACTAATAGTTGTTAGATATTTTGTATTAGTTTTATATTGATTTTAAATTGATATTCGTTTTTTATTTATCTTATTCCTTTTATTAATTAAATTCTTTTTATTATATTAATAAAAATATTTTTATTATGGTTATTTAAATAACTTATTAAATTATTTTTATTATGGTTAATTAATTTTATTATTTTCAAGTGGAATATAAATGGATTATAATTTTAAATGGAAGTAGCTTATTTAGTGCAATAATTGCAAATCTCTCTCTCTCTCTCTCTCTCTCTCTCTCTCTCTCTATATATATATATATATATTGAAAGAGTTAATAAGAGAGGGTGATTGCTCACTTGAGTGAGTGAGTGGTGTTTATATGTGAATGCTAAACTCTTAAAGGTGATTGCTCACTTGAGTTATTTTGTTTAGTTTAAAATTAAAAATTAAAAAAAAAACTAAAAAAAAAGATAAATACTTTCGAGAATAAACCAAAAAAAGAGATAAGTGGTTTTCAAAATAAACCATATTGCAAGAAAGTGCCAACTTGGTGCATTGCATTTTAATATATTAGAAGATTACAAGAAAGATGTCTATGTTCAAGTATAGCCATGACATGTTCAATTTTATGTAGGTTCAAATTCCTAGGGGTGAGCTTAGGATGATTCTTCCGGGATGTCAAATTCCAACTTTATGAACTATGGATTTTGGGTGAACTTACAATTTGCAAGTTTTAATGTCTTCGACATAGGACACACGAGGTTGGGATTTTTTCCCCTTTCTTGGGTTAAAGTCTACTATGTGGAAAGGAGAATGCTATTTGTGTGCATGAATAATTAGCTAGTGAATTTTCTTTACTAGTAGTAAGGTTTAAATTTTCAATATGATACACCTGATACGGGGCGTATCATATCGTATCTTTTAAAAACCGATATAGGATATGCATGGAAATCGGATATTTCATCTTTTTTCATGTGTATCGAGGGCATATCGAGGCGTATCGGGAGGGTATCAGGGCGTGTCAGTAGCGTATCGACGAAAAAGATATGGCCAAAAACTAAAAAATAAAAATTAAAGGGGAAAAGCAAGCTTCTTTTCCCCGAAATAAGCCTTCTTTCACTCCCAAATGATTCTAAAACTCCAAACTTCATTCCTAGAGTGCTAGATTTGCAAAATGTTGCAAGAAATACGTGTGAATCATTAATTTTTTTAAAGATTTTTTAAATTTTGAAAATATATGGCAAAAATAGGTAAATTTTTTCAATCTTTTATAATATTTTGTGATTTCTTTTTTTTTATTCTTGAATGTTTAAATTTTTGTTGATTTACATTTCTTACATTCAAAATCACAAATTTTTTTGTGCTATCAATAGATTTATGGAAATTTCATGAGGATATTTGGGGAAATTATAAATTACCAAAAAATTTGAAATGTAAGTTTTTTCTTTGTGTATAAAGACTAAATATGTTTTTGATCTATAGATTTATCTATCATATCCATAGAGCATTTGAAATTTCTTCTTTAATATATTTTTTTTATTTTTAGATTTAAAAAAATAAATAATAATTAATTAATTTTATCATTTGATCATAACAATTGAATATATTATAATTCTATGGATGATCTATCATATCCATAGACCAATTGAAATTTTTTCTTTAATAATTTTTTTTTAGAATTAAAAAATAAATAATTAATTAATTATATTTTATCATTTGATCACAATGATTGAATATATTATAATTCTATGGATGATCTATCATATCCATAATGGAAATTTCTTCTTTAATAACTATTTTTTGAATATATTATATAATGTTTATTTATTTTTATAGTTTTTGGAAATGAATAATAAATAATAATTATTTAAACAATAAATAATTATTAATTATATTTTCACATGGAAGTTGTGCCAATGCATGTATTATGGTTGGATAGGAGAGATGGGTTTTTCTCATCCCATAAAACATTAAAACTTAAGAATTATAATTTATAAATTATAGTTAAGCATAAGATTTTTAATGAAATTATAATTAGATATAATATATTTCTTCATAAAACCATTAAAATATATTAACTTAATGTATATACACCTCATTGAGGTCTTATATTTAATGTTGTTGATGTATTTTTATGATTTATTAAAGTATTTATAGTGTTTCAAAGCGTATCTATGCATATCTTAATTTTTCTCCGATACACATGTGTATCGCCGTATCCAAGACGTATCCCGATACGTATCTGAAAATTGCCTTTCCGATACACTTGGCGCTTTCAATACTTTGAACCTTGGCTGGTAGACTTTTCTTAAGATTATCCTAGAAAAAAAAAGAAAAACATTGTTGGGAGTGCAAAATATCTGGCACTAGATGTTCATTGAGAATGTTTTCCAATATTATCAACGAAAAGCATCCAAGGTTTTTTTTTTTTTTTTAATCTCCCAATCTATCAAAGGAAATATGGAATCCATGTTTTTACATCATTAATCATACTATAAGAATTCATGTGCAAAGGTGGGTTAGATGTATCCATTTCTCTAAGTATCATTAAATGACAATTAGGCTATGTTTGGCTTGAAGGAAATGGTAGGGAAAGAAAAGGTATGGAAACCTATATAAAGTTTCAAATTGGTTGGTTGAACATTCTACAGTGGGTCATTTGAAAAGAGAACAAAGAAAAAAGAGTGATGGATTTTACTGTTTATGGCATTTCACCCCTAGCAGCTATATCCCCCTTCGTCATTCGAGAAGGATTAATGGGTTTTACTGTGTTATGCTCATTTAACTGATTTTTTTTCCATTTACTCTAAATTATACATATGTTTCCCATATTTAGGGGTGTCAATTGGACTGGATCTGGTCCAATCCAATCCAGTCCAATGTGAATTAATTACAAATGGACCAGATCCAATTCAATCTAATGAATATTTTGGACCAGTCCAATTTAATGTATGGACCATCCAATCTGTTTAAATTTGTTTTAATTTAGAATGGTTCCAACTCAAACCTGATTCATAGACACCTATATTCTTATCTTCTATCAGTAGACTTGGTATTGCTTCAGTCCAACCCAATCTAATATAAATCCATTATAGATGGACCAGGTCCAATCCCATCCAATAAATACTTTGGACCATAAAATCTGAACTGGTCCAATTCAATTTATATTGTTGGCCCGTTTAATTCATCCAAAATGATTTTGGTTTGGGTGGGTCCAACCCAAAAGTCATCCATTGACTAACTATATACCGTATGCACATTGTATGGATGGAAATGCCCAGCTTTGGTGCCATTACACCTGTACCGAAAAATTGCGGTTGTATCAGCCACACATGGCAACCTCTCTAATTAATTTCCCCGCTCTCCTAGGCTCCATTATCTCCTATTAAGAAACCTAATTAATTCCCCCAGCTAACTCCTATTGACGCTCTTGGTGGTCCTATTTAAATTCAAATATCTGCAATTAATTCTCAAATTAACTCCTATTAATACTGTAAATAACTGGCTAATTGGTAAGGTAAGGTCTTCTGTCGGTTGTAGTGAACATTTGGGGTCGAATCCTGCCTACTCATTTGTTTTCCTCTTTAAATCTACTCATTTCTCTATCTTCTATTAGACTTATATATTTATATCACCCAGAAAATTAAATAAGAGATTAACAATTTAAAATAAAATTGGGATTTTTATGTAGGTTTATATTGGTTTCATAAGATACTAGTGTAATACTAGTGTAAGGGCACGTGTTCAAGTAAAATAGATAGATACATGCATATTAATTCTAAAACAAATTTCTAATCTTTACTAACTATATATTAATATTGGTAAGGTGTACTTCATATGGACTATATATAAGCATGTCTAAAGTGTCTTGATACATAGGTTAAAAGTTCCTTCCCATTACTCTCCATATCAAAATGTTCCATATACATCACATGACCCATTCATGTGCTCAAAAGAAATTATTTATTTATTTTGAAGAAGTCCAAAAGCAATTCATTGAATCAAATCTGATCTTAGTATAGGCAGAATAAAACTTGGAGGGATAGACCAAGTGACTGATTTTGAAACAATACAACCATGATTGGCTAAGAGATGAGCCACTTCGTTGCCTGTCCTTGGGGTAAAAGAGACTGAGACATTTGAGAAATCAAGCAGAAGACCCCTGCAATCAATGATGAATGGGTGAAGTCATCAAGGAACCTCTGACTGGGGATTTAATAGGGCACAAACTATCTTCTGTTCATCTTCTTCAATGGTTAATTAGATGTTCAATATATAGAGATGTGTGGCACCAATT